TGCATGGGCTTACTACATTTACGAATATATTCCTCTATATAAAGGACATTGAAAATTCAACTATCCAAAGTTTCCTCTTGTATTATTTTTGTTTTCCTGAATTTCATTGGCGGTTTCATATTTAAATCAGGCAGCTGAAAGACTTTTTAATGAACTAAGCTGATCTTAAAAGAAACTCTGCTAATTGGCTGCACTCTAATTTTCACCTGGTAAAATCGTAGCCTTAGATTGCAATCTAATTTTCAGCGAAAAGTCACCATACAACTGGGCGAAGCTTAAGCCGTTGCCATTATCGTCGCAACTTCAAAGTGCAGCTCATAAATAATTCATACATGCACACAAATTATTCGCACATCATGGCAATGCTAGTAATCAACAAACATCGTCTGGTCGATGTCTGCACTTCTCCGCTTCCCTCTCTTCATCTCACCGTGCTACAGCTAATGCAACATCAACAGTAGCCAAATATTGCAACTGCATTTGCAACTACAGTTCCAGTTCCAATTCCAGTTTTTTTTTATATACTATGATACCTTCGGTATATTGGTTTTGTGCAATGTCCGGCATGGTGTCTGTCTGTCTGTCTGTCCGTTTGTCCGTCTCTATGAATGCAAATCGAAACCCTCAGAGATAGAGACTTGGAACTTCAAGTGCACAAATTGGAGTCCACTACATCCACTTGGAGGCTAGGAAATCGATAAAATCGATAATCGCAAGTCGATAAGGCCACATATCTTCCACAATTCCACGCTACAATCACAAAATCTGGTTGGTTGGTTATTGGCCATGTTCTTCAAAGATTACCATATGCCACGCCCACCTTCGCCGCCCCAAGTCCCCCGATTAGACCCGACTACAACGTGCTCTCTTGATTTTTTGCAGAATGTTGAAGAGTTAAGTATTTAACTCTTGCCGCGGAGACGACAGCCTGGAATACCATAGGACACCACATAAGGAGTATAAAAAAGCAACATTAAGATACCATGTCAGACAGATACAATCCCCTTGCAAGAGTGTGCAATCTTCGGCGTGCCCAAGTAAGTTGATATAATTCTTGTTTTTGTTTTTATTCGTTCTTCTGAGTCCCTGTCAATACATACTTGTTTCTTGTATACTTGTTTCTTGTTACAGGTGGCGGGAAACCAGAAAATTAGATAAAGTCTTGCCATAATTCATGTTAAATTCACCAATTAAAAGGCATAATAAAAAGGTGATCCTAGATTCCAGGCATCTAATATCTCTTTTATGATTAATGAATTCGCAATTGTGTTAGTTTTCTCTAATGACATTCCACAGGAAAATTGCAATCGCAATAACGTAATTTTTTCCAATAAGATATGACTAGAAAATTTCAGTGGTTATTTTTGGTTAACGAAAGTGTACAATATAGAGAGATATGCTTCGATTGTATTCCCAAGATCGGATATTGACAGGTTGAGTTGGTTTATACAAGTTAACTTTCTCGCCTATATTCTTGGATACCAAATTGACTTTGCTAACCAGAAACAGACGAATTAGCTAAATTTAAATTTAAAATAAATTATTATGATTTGATGTTTCATTTTATTAATTTTGATTATCTTGTCGTTATTTTGTCTAAGAGACCACAATGAAGTTAAAGATGTATATATGTATATTTCTTTTACACTATATTCAGCTTGATTTTTATTAAAATCAGACATATTAAGAAACCTGACGAAGAACGTTGTGTCTGACCCGGTGTCTTAGGAACAGGCGCAATGAAAGTTTAGAACTAGAGTGGTTCACCTCGAAAAATTAAACCAAAGGGAACTACTTTGTCAAGTCATTAAATATTTATTAAACCAATCTAATTGATTGGAATATTTTTGTACGGTAATTGCAAATGAATGTAGGCATTACTATTTAACTAATTGGTATTGTATATTCCAGAGCTATATTTCAATTGTATTTTAGAAGGAATTTTCTATAAATTCAAAAATTTACTCATGAACTTTAGATCTTAGGTTGTATTTTAATCAATGTGCAACATAATGAATATGTTATAATAAACCGATTTGCATTTGGAGCATTCGCACTGCGATGATAATACTAATGCCAATCGAAAATGTGTAGCGGAGCGAGGAGGAGTTGGTATTGGAGCTACCTAAAAATCAGGTGGATTTTGTACATGCTGCAACTTGAATTGCACCCCATTCGGTAGCATTTGAGTGCCTTGCAGCCGACCACTTAACCAGCCAGTTAAATGATTTGGCTAATAAGCCACACGCACCATGAAACACGCACCATGAAACACGATGCGTGGAGTGTTGCGGTTTATTGTGACTATTTTTTTGCTTGCAACATGTTGTTGTTTTGAATGTTGCCTGCCGCCGCCACTCAAATGCGTATTGCGAATCGGCTTGTGGCCTGGCCAGCAGGAAGGGCATTTCGGCAACTCCGATCAGCTTGGCTCACATGTAGGTTGATCGCAACACTTTTAATTGGCTGGCCCACAGAGATTCCGGATCGAGTTGGGCGTGGTCATCATGCAGTCGGCACAGTCCCAAGGCCAGGGACAGTATCTGATCAGTTGTTTTGAAACTGACACAATTGACTCAAATCAAATTCATCGAAATCGATTTTTAACTTTTTCAATTTATATCCGTAGATAGTAAATGTTTAGAGAATGTGCTTTGATTATCTCCTTGTAAAACGCTGAGTAAGGCATTAAACATGGGCTCAAACACCAATTACGCCAAAAAAAAAATCAAGTAACCAATAACAATGATCTAGACTAGTGATCTGGACTACGAGATACCTTTGAATTTAGCTAATAAATATATTATTTATTTAAAATACAGTTTTAATTTAATGCAGAATTTATCAGGAGCAAGGGCGTACCCAGCTTTTAGGGACGGCTTTCGGATCTCGTCTAATGGGTGCCGACTGGTTATTTTCTCACCTCAACCTCCTGCCTAAGCCTCCGTATGCCATTTGCGCAAGGTGCACAAAAATGAATGCAATCCATGTTTGTGTCAGAAGCCTTTTCCAAAATCTTTGACTTACGACAAGCGAGTATCAACACAAATGTTGCATAAGTGCGTATTTCTAAAATCGCATTCTTAGAAAACGGGTAGATGCAGAATACAAACACATACACAAGTATTTTGACACTTGCTTCGATTATGCCAATGCTGATAGGAATGAGATCAATATGAGAACTGGTTTTTAGGAGTTTCGTATCCGAACTTAACGAAATTCTATACAGTTGTTCAACAACATGCCAAGGTATTTAACATATCAACCATAATTCGATACCTTTACCAAGCTTTTACTTTCTCTGCTCGACTCTTTGAGACAGGTAGACGGATAGACGACGCGGATGTTGGTCTTGGTCAAAAGTATGCATACTCGATGCCAAAAATATGGCAAATTATATAGCATATCAATTGAAAGTGTAAGTCTTTAAAATTGTGGCTTTTAGGAAATCAATTTGTCTCGATATTCGCTGAGGGAGTCATCGATAAAATGAAATAGTCTTGATCTGCGTATGTTATTCAAGAACTTATGTTTTAAGTATCTAGCTTTTATAGTTTCTAGATCGACTTGGCTCTTGATGATGTGGAGATGATTGCGTCTGCCATTTACTAATATACCCTATAGATCGATTTTAATGGATTCAGAGTATAAGCCGCCTTTTCTATTATAATTATTATTATTTTTAAAAATTTGTATTTTTGCAAGAGCAGAAAAGGGGAAACTAAGAACAATGAAGCATAGATACTCGTTTCTGCTAAAGTTCTTTTGCTAGTGCTGTAATTTGTTACACTAATACAGACTACAAAGCTACTGACAAAACTAATGTGATTTGTCAGCCTCAATATTTAAAAAATACTTACAAAGCTGCACAGAAAAAAATCAGCAATCTGAAAGTAGAAAATTCAAGTACAAAACATATCAATAGTGAGGCAAAAAAACTGAAGTCCCAAATATATATTCTTGATGTTGAAGTGAACCAGTTTATTATCAAATAAAGGAACTAAAATCAAATTAAACTCTTTAATTTTGGTAGATTACATATTTTTCTCCGTGTAAATATGCTGCGACAATTCGATTATGGACAAGTTCAATCAATATGGTTAAGCACCATTACAAATTGTAGCAAAAGTTTACTTAAAGTGATTGGAAACAATTTATTTGAAATTAAAAGACTACGAGATTGTAAAGAAAACGTCTTAATATGAATATATATATATATATATATATATATATTGTTATTGCTAAAGACTATATTTGAGCAGGGAGCAGTTTCTGGCCGTATGCAAGACAAGAGTTATCTAATAGAATAGAAAATTGGTGTACACGAGTAATACGAACACAACACCTTAGGCGGAAACTACGCATATTTGACCCTCGGCTATGAATCATTGCTAAAAACTCAGGCCTCAAAGCAAAAATATGAAGAAAAAAATCGCGCACACAACTTTTGAGGCCAAAAAAAATCGCAGCGAAAGGCGAAGGCGAAGGCGATGATGACGATGACGATGACGATGACGTTGGGGCAGCAACGGGGGTTCCGTGGTCAGTTAGGTCACGGGTGCCCAATTTTTTTTTTTATTTTTTTTTTTTGGTGTGTTGTCAGCAGCGATTTGCTGAGCCCCGCTTTGATTAAAAGCAAATTCATTAAAGGGAACTACGGCTGTCAGCAGGGCGGCAGCCCGCAAGTGGTGGTAGGGAAGCAAGGGGTATCTGAATGTGCGTGAAAATCAAACATGGGCTACCAAATCAAAAAGCAACGGGTCAAAGCCGAAGTCGAGCGATTAACGGCACGCGGCAAGCGGCAAGCGTCAACGATTTATGCCGAATGTAGGAAGCCACGAACTTGCGCCTTCGGCAAATGTTGTTGCTACTGCCGCCGCAATTGTTGTTACTGCTGCTTGCGCCGACTGCAAAACGCAACTTTATATAAAATGTGAACGCAACATAATAACCATCAGTTGTTAACGCGTCAGCCACACGGCAGCTAATACTACCAAAACGAACAGCGATCCTGAGACACGCCTGAAAATCTACAACAATCCTTTTTTTTTGTTATTATACATTTTTTGGTTATTGGTGATTGTGGTCCGTGGCAAAAGTTGCCATCAAACTATTATACAAATTTAAAGACAATTGAAAAACGGATTGCTAATGTTTCCGTACCTGATCCACATCCTGATCCTGCTGGCTGCTGGTTCAACTCAAGCCGCCTACAAACTGCAGGAGCGCTATAGCTGGAACCAACTGGACTTTGCCTTCCCAAATGAGAGGCTCAAGGAGCAGGCGATCGCCAGCGGCGATTATATTCCACAGAACGGACTCCCCGTTGGCGTTGAGCACTTTGGCAATCGGCTATTTGTCACAGTTCCCCGCTGGCGAGATGGTAAGTTCATCCAACCAAATTGTCCAATTAACAAATGTTTCGCACAACATATTTTTGGACATAGTTGGCTATTTAGGCTACATAGAGCCAAAAGACAACACAAATTTTAGAGTTGGCGCTCCAGCTAGTCTTGTTACAATTACAATGTACAAAATTTGTTTTCGCTAAATTTGCTTGTGTAATTTGAGCTGTTCGCTGAGCACTCGTTAAGGCAAGTTGCTCTGTTAATTGATAATACATATAAATGCAGCACAATCCTTTTCAACTTGTATGCAATGCAGACACAACCAAAATCATATTGCCCATTATTGCCTATAATTAGGCTTTCAACATTTCTAGTTCCTTGTTAGCTGACAGCTTTAATTGCCTTGACTCCAATAATGGACGTGAAAACACAATAAACTTGCATTAAGTAAAAAAAAATATATATATTTCACATATCCATAATAGCTTTGTATACAAAAATTTGAATACAAGTTGTGCATCCTTAAACAATCGTCAATTTTCAGCTTTTATCTAGATGTTGTGGGGTTGAAGACTATGAATAAATATGTTCAGTTCATTGGCTGATAGTATTTTATGGTCGATTTTAGCTGAAAGTGATATTTACTCTCCAAGTGCTTCTTTTCACTTACTTATTTTCTTTGTGTTGTGCATCGAATTTTTTTGGCTTTCAAATATTAAAACGTTTGCTGCAATCACTTTTAATTCTTGTTCGTTCTTGTTTTCATCAAAAATCAATTTCTTTAAGCAAGTGTAAGCTGCTGAAATCATACCCTAATTTATATTCAGTTTAATTAAATGAGTAACTAACTGTTTAAAATATAAATACATACATGCGGCATTGAAGGCTTCAATAAATATATATCTCATAAGCATTACAAAGTGAATAAATTTAATGTGAAATATCTATAAATACAACCAACGCAATTTTGAAGGCTTCTTTACAGCCTTGACTATGCTATACCGTTACAAATCAACCAGCAATAAAACATTAGAAAAAAGCAAATAAATAAAAAATATGCAATAACCAACAATTCGTAGCGAGTCGATGAAAAGTGAGAGTTGTAAATACTAAAGTGCACCGTGCATGTTGTTGTTGGATTTTTTTGATATTCGAATTTTTTGTGTTTTTTGCTCATGTTCTGCACGATATGACAATTGAATTGTAAAATGGTTAAGAAACTGGCCGAATAAACGAACTTGAAATTCACAAAAAATTCATTAATTTATACCGTTAACTAAGATGCATGAATGCTTCCTAAAAAAAATATGAAATACTAGACAAGCACAGAGAAATCGAATTAAATGTGCATATTTATTTAAGTTTGAGTGCAGTTTTATTGAAATTTAATAATAAAGGAATTTTAATAAGCAAAACGCGAGCAGAACGAAGTTGAAATTATTTAATTTCCACTCAAATGTTAGCTTTATCCTTTTGCGAAATTCAAATCGAGTTAAACAGAAATCACACAGGATTCTTCAACATAATCCTTCCGTGTGCCTTCAAAACTTTTCAGTTCATTTTGCAGAAAATATCCTAGGAAACTTGCGTTAAAAGATACGCTAAGACAAGAAAAAAAGATAGAGAGAGAAACTTGACAGCTTGACTATTTAGCTGCTTGACTATTGAATATTACACAAACTTTTTAAATATCTCAAGAATCGCAATAATGAATTGGAATGCCACTGAGCAGTAAGAAGGTCGCTCAAATAAAAAGCCAAAGGCCAAGACACAAGTCAGAGCAAATGCTTCAATGGATTCAATGAATTTTGAGCCGCCAAAAGGCGCAAGAGCGAAAGCCACGCCGCGAAAAGCGGATAAAAGCAAATCAATTAGCTAATCTTGAGTAAATCCCATAATGAAAAACAACAACAGTAAGAAACAACATTTGCAACCAGTTGACAGTTATGACTTATGACGAGTGGTTGCTAAGTGGATTGTCGAATGCCTACTCACTTCCACTGACTGCGAAATATGAATGGAAAAATAGAATTGATCAATCAAGTGAACTAAATTACATCGAATAGTGTTGGAAAACAAAGCATAGGCCTTACAATACTATTGTTATGCGACAATTGAAAATGTGTTTAGTTCGGATTGAAAGATTGATTGTAGAGTGTAGAAAAATGGTACAATATAATCTTGTCTTATGACAATTTCAATTCGTAAAAAAAAATTTGTATTCACAGATCAACTGAAACTGAAATTTGAACAAAGTCTACAAATTTAATGTTCATTCGAGAATTTTCAGATCGATAAGATCAAACTTTGATTCCAACAAAAAGTGAAACTGCTTCGAAACCCCAAAACGAAACCCGAGACGAAAACACGACTGGAAAATTGCTTACATTGGAGCAAAGTATTATTTCTTAATATTTGCTAAAACTTCTTTAGGAATTGGTTGACAGCTGAGTTTTAGTCTAAAAAGGATTTAATGCGCAAAGGAATTGCTAATGAATTTTATACAATAGTTTAAGATTAAAACTACTTCCAATTTCGGACATGAAATAATTAAAAAACCAATAAGGTTCACCCATATATAAATATCGACGCAAAAGGTAAATGAGGTTTTAAGTTAATTTAATTTTAATTAAGGCGAACCAACGCTTGCTTTGGTCATGTCGTAGCAATTACAATGAGCTTGAGCTATTAATTTACATGAGTACGAATGATTTTCATTTGTCATTTGAGTTGAGCAAATGGTTAATTGATTACAGGCAACTGGCAAACAGGTTGCCGTCGCCACAGTTGCCTAATGGAAAGCTCATGTTACAGTATTCAAACGCGCGCTACGCCAACTGGTGTTAATGAAATTAAGATAAATACACATGTGAGCAGATCCTTGTCCGATCGTAACGACAGATCGTTTAAAATGTGTGATTGCCGGTTGACAGATAATAATGATGTTTGTGCTCCCGATTATAAAGTAATAGCGATTAATCACCACGAAATGCTTGCAATTGTATATTGAAAGGTATTGCATTCCACGATAAAAAAATGGCTTAGTGATATAGATGGGATTTGTTGCTTAACATTTGAGTTAAATGCATTCCAAGTGTCTGGTAATCAAGCCAAAAACTCAAGCTTGACTAATTAACTATTATTTGTCGTGGGCTGGCTTCAGTTGAAGTTAAAGTCATATTTACGTTTATTGGTGTAAATGGGGTGGTAAATCACACAAATCACAATTCTAAAACCAACGGCAGTTTGATCATATGAAACTCTGAGAGAAAATTGTGAAATTCTTTTAATGTATTAATTAAAATCACATCAAAGCTTACGTTACGAATCAGCGTAGCCATAAGTTTGTATTAAATCAAATAGAAACCAACGCCTGCTGTAAGACTTAACTGCCATATTTGGTCGCAGCTGTAATTCCCATCGGAATGCAGTCTACCATAACGGCAACAACTACCTTTGGCTTGATACTTAATTAATATTAATAAAAATTAATGCATAGGTATGTTAACAGAGTTGCTCGACATTTCCATACAATATAAAATAAGTAACAGTTTATCGTCGCTTGTAATTGAAGATCGCAGAAGCAGGGGAGAAGAAAGAGGTGATCGATAAAATTTACAACGCAAATTGGCCAAGAAAAGTGCCAAGTGATGTCGCACGCCCGCAACTGGTTTCACTGACTTTCTGTTGGCGCCGTTTCAACTGGAGCGGAAACTTTAAAGTTTGTTGCTAACCATGATGATGATGATGATGATGATGATGATGGTGGTGATAATGATGATGACAATGATGTGATATGTGTGGACATGTGTGCAGTTACTCAAAATGTGGATAATCACATTATAAATTGCTAGCACTCAACTTGAGAGGCTGGCGAGACAAAATGCGAATGGTGAATGAATAGTGGGTGGGGAGGATGGGGAGGGGGGAACGGGTCTAATTTTAGGAAGTTGCAGTTGCAACAATTGCAAACGGCCCATGAGCAAATCGTTAATTCAGTCGGCTCACAATTACTGTCGAGTGCAATCACACAGCCAGATTGGATATATTTAACTATCTAATCGATCCAGTCATATATTTAAACCAGATAATAAATATGATGCCAGCTTTGGCTATAACAGTTAGTGTCAGTAAACAGGAAAAGCAACTATTTTGACAAGTCAAACTTGCTCATTTCTTACTTATATTAAGCGTTGAATGTATAGCTGCTGTCAAAATATTAGTGGTGCATAATATGGTGCACACATAGTTTGGGAAAATGTGAAAAAGAAAACATGCTCAAAATATAGTTGTCAATTATGATCATTATTTGTAGTTTTTATTATAATTACCGTTTTCTCTGCGACGAAATAATATTTTTACAATATTTAGATATGTAATAATAATCAATCATAATTTTGTAGGCATTCCGGCAACATTGACGTACATCAACATGGATCACAGCTTGACGGGCTCACCCGAATTGATACCCTATCCGGATTGGCGAAGCAATACGGCTGGGGATTGTGCGAATAGCATAACGACAGCTTATCGCATCAAGGTGGATGAATGCGGCAGACTTTGGGTACTCGATACGGGCACTGTGGGCATTGGCAACACAACCACAAATCCCTGTCCGTATGCTGTCAATGTCTTCGATCTGACCACAAATACCCGTATACGGCGATATGAGCTGCGTGCTGAAGATACAAATCCGAATACGTTTGTTGCCAACATTGCCGTCGATATTGGCAAAACTTGTGACGATGCCTATGCATATTTCTCAGATGAACTGGGCTATGGCCTGATTGCCTACTCCTGGGAGCAGAATAAATCCTGGCGTTTCTCCGCCCATTCCTATTTCTTTCCAGATCCCCTAAGGGGCGACTACAACATTGCCGGTCTGAACTTCCAATGGGGCGAGGAGGGCATCTTTGGCATTGCCCTGTCGCCGATACGATCCGATGGCTATCGCATCTTGTACTTCAGTCCCCTGGCCAGCCATCGCCAGTTTGCCGTCTCCACGCGCATCCTGCGCGATGAAGAGCGTACCGAGGACAGCTATCATGAGTTCATTGCGCTGGACGAGCGTGGTCCTAATGCTCACACCACGGCCCGTGTGATGAGCGACGATGGCATAGAGTTGTTTAATCTGATCGATCAGAATGCGGTCGGCTGCTGGCACTCATCGATGCCATACACATCGCAATTCCATGGCATTGTCGATCGCGACGATGTCGGTCTCGTGTTTCCCGCCGATGTCAAGATCGATGAGCAAAAGAATGTGTGGGTGCTGTCCGATCGTATGCCCGTCTTTTTGCTCTCCGATCTCGACTACAGTGATATCAATTTCCGTATATATACAGCACCGTTGGGTGAACTCATTGAGAATACGGTTTGTGATCTGCGGAATAATGTGTACGGTCCATCGAATACCGTAACGCTGCCCCAACAGCCACAGGCTGCGTTGCCAGCACTACCAGCACCGGCACCACCACCACGAGTCACCTCCATTTATCAGCCATCGTATCTGCGACCAAAGACCCAGTTATCCACAAACTGGGCGCCAGCACCACTGGCGCCGGCTAACAGCTATTTACCAGCGGAGAGGCCATCGTCCGGGCAGAGCATATCGAGCGTGACCGTATCGCAGGGTCTGTTGCCCAATGGCCTGGATGTGCCGAAGGCGTATGTCTTTAATCAGCACAATGGCCTCAACTATGAGACGAGCGGACCGCACATGTTTCCCGTTCATCAACCGGCCGGGCAGCGGGAGGGACTCAAGAATTATGTGAATGCCCGCCAAGCTGGCTGGTGGCATCATCATCATTAGGACTAGGACATTTCTCGTCGAGCACTCTGCTTTTCAAATCTCTCTCTCTCTCTCTTTCTCTCTCTCTCTCTCTCTCTCTCGCTCTCTCTCTCTCTGCAATACTTTCGCGCACTCACATGAATAGAATATATCAATATATACATATATATTTGTGTAGTTGGTTTTTTGTATATTATATGTAATAAATTTTTTTTTATTCCTTATATTGAAATTTTTATATGTTTTGAATTTGCCAATTCGGTAACCAGAAGAATCCCTGAACGCAAGATGCCGCCTGGTAAATAAAAATCGGCATATTCAATTAATGACATATTCTTTTCAGCAAATAATCATATTGCAAACGACCACTAAATTGTTATTAGTAATAATTTGTGACATTTTGCATAATATTTAAAAATATATTTAGCAACTTTTGCACAAGCCAGAGGAAGCTTACACTGAAACCAAACCAACATTTTATAGCATAATTTTAGGAGCTCTCTTAAAGTCAGTACCGGTAACAGTCGCCAGTGAACGCCACTCGATGTACGTGTAAATTGTATTGCGTACTTTTAGGCTTGTCAAAAAGAGAAACATCAAAGAAAAAAATAACTTATAATAGGAGTAGACAAAACTGGTCGAGAGTACAATTGATTATTTGATTTTGTGTGACTAGCTAAATTTCATATTTGAATATGAATGATGATGCATACAATTCACAGTCTGCACACGACGCTCATCACTCACACTTTTATTCAGAAGAGAGTCAAAATAAAAAAAAAAGCAAAAATAAAACTCGTTTCGACGGCTGGCCCATTCATTTGCATACAACACGCCCGCTGTAAGGGGGGGTAATGAGTAGGGGATGGGCTGGAGATATGGTGTGTTCAGAAATGATGGCTGTGCCAAAATTCACACATAATTACAAGTGAGAGACTGAGAAGGCAGCAAAAAGGGAATTCAAAGTGCTGCTGCTGGTGCTGCTGGGTTCGTTCAATTTATGCATATGATTTATATATGTAAGTGTCTGTATGGATGGGTGTTATGGGCGTGGCATACTGTTGCATACTGCCGCTAGTGACTTTCCTGCAAAGGCCAAAAATCACAATAACAACAACAGCAGAAAACCACAAAAAACAAACAAACGAGGCGAAAGCAGCAGCAGCCGTTGACTGCCGGCATTTATTTACTTTTTGATTACGAATACGAACTACACTTCCAGCTTCCCCATCCCCCCGCCGGCCCTCCCGCGTCCATTGTGCCCATCTGCCTGAGGAGTGAGAAGATGCTGCCACTGCTGCTGCTGCTGCTGGCTGCTGTGCGAAGCACTTAACGCCAAAAGTGAGCAAAGCAACACTTGCTCTATTAACGCGTCTGCTGCTGCAGTTTCAGCTTCTTCGCATCATCTTCTTCCCCTTCAGCGCCGCCTCTTCTGTGGACTCTGTCTGACAATTTATTGAAAAGCATTAAGGTGGAGAAGAAGCCGCATCGCATTCGCGTCCGTTAACGAGAAACGGACACCAGCTAAAAATCCAATGCAAACGTGTGGCTAATTTGCGGTTGCCCGAATGATGATTTACATAGGATCAGAGCAACTCGCTGGATACCAAAAAACAAATACGCAAAAAAAAAAACGACAAGAGAAACCGCACATGCAAATTATAGAAAATTTGGGGCCGGGTGCAGCTTAAACAAATATTGAGATAGTCGCGACGATAACAAGACCAACGACAGCACTATATTTAGTTCTGCCTGCTACGCATATTCAAATGCAATAAATCCGCGAATGGGTGTTTCCTTTTGGGTATTAAAAAAACGGAGAAATAAAACCGAAAAAAAACGCTGCTGTTGCTAATTTTATGCTAGACGGGCGTTAATATCAAGCTGCCATTTATGGCTTCCGTTTTGTAGAATTAATTCAACTGATGAGCCTTGAATCTGTCCAACAAATAGGGGAAAGATAGAATGGGGGACAGGGTGGGGGGAGTGCTGATTGTAAGCTGAGCTACTTAATTGAAGGCGCCAACAAGCAGCGGGCGGTGTTTAAGTGTGTGGGCGTGGCACTTGCAGTCTCCCCCCCTCTCTCTCTCTCTCTCTCTCTCTGTCTGTCTGTGTTGCAACAACAATTGCTGACCTGCTGTGCAGCTGTCGCAGCTCTTAATCTTAACAAGCAGCAGCAAAAAACAAAAAACCAAAAAATTAAAAACAAAGCAGAGAAAACCAAGCTAGTTCGTTGCTTAAGTCTTTCGTTTTTGTGTCTTATTTTTGGCTGGCTGTTTTTCAATTAAAAGCGACGCTAATTTTATCGAACAATGCAACAAATTTTATGCGCATTTAACAAAGTCGTAATTGATTGTACAAAAGTGAAGGCGTGAAATGCCGCCAGTAGCAAGCAGACAGCTTGAAAGCTTGCCGGACAGGAAATTAAATGTGCAAAAGGGGCAAAGGAAAGAGAGAGAGAGAGAGAGAGTGAGTACTCATAAGTACTCTGCAAATAGCTCGCGCATTGTCCTGGAAAAAGAAAGTGCAACTTAATAGCTTTATTAACAAACACAAACCAAAAAACAAAAAAAAAACCAACAAATATTTTCGTTTTGTTTTTGTTTTTTTTTTTTTGCTAAGTTGCAAGTTGCAAGTTGCAATTTAAATGGCTCCAAGAGCAACGAACGAGGGAGAGAAGCTGCGAAATTATCTTGATTGACATTTTATGTCTTTTTAATGAAAGCAACTTCAAAGGATGACACGAAATTGCTCGCATCGCAGCCCACTTTTGCCCCCTCGCAGCGTTGTTGGTGGCAGGCGCATAAAAATTGTTGCTGCTGATAGCCAGACAGACAAACAGACAGACATTCAGTCAGTCAGTCAGTCAGTTAGTCAGAGAACAAGTGTAGCGTGCAGTCACACAACGACCAGAAAGATACAATTGTATCTTGTGCTATCTGCGGCCAGGTAGAGCTGACAACGCAGCTGTGCAACTAATGTACTTACTTGTCTCTCGGCCCAAGCGATGCGAGATATTCACTCGAGAACTCTCGCATCCATCCATATGCACACACACACACAGACAGTACAAGTGCATCACAACTTTAGCAACGACTCACATATACCACGTAATTAGCTCTTCATGCATTTTTCAAACAGTACTGTTAAACTGGATAAAACAATTCTGAACCAAGAATATATTCATTGCTCAAGTGCTTGAACTAAGAATTTATTCTCGACTAGATGTCAATTTATTTCATGAACAACTTCTGATTACATCTGATTCTTAGTTTAATTCTTATACTAAAACTCATATTCTTGATTAAAGTTTGTGTATCGAAATTTCTAGCTTTGATATATGCACAATTTTGTGTTAAGAGTGCTGTTTTCTTAATTCCATTAGCTGGCTTTCATAGAGCCAGATTAAAGGATACACTCCTGGCATCTTTATAGGGTACTCAAAATGCAGACAATCTAATCGCTGGCAAATGTCAAGCGGCCGCAGCAGTCTCATTCACGAATGAGTCGCTCGAGTTTTGGTCTGGTTTGGGTTTTGTTTGGGGTTTGCCTTTTGCGTTCATTGATAACAACAAACGCTGGCTGGAAGCGCAACCAAGCAACGCCTGGCAACGCTGCGTGCGACAACCCGCGATAAAAAATAAAAATAATAACGTGGCCAGTTGCTTCATCGACTCGGATGCGGATTGCGTCTGTGATCGGATCGGGTTTGGGTTTGGGTTTCGGTTTGGCCTCGATCCTTGACTTTGACTTTGGCGATATGCGATATGACGAAACACGCGTGAAGAGCGTCAAACGATTTTGTTATCGTTGTCGCCATAACCGTTGCATGGCTTAATTAAAAGGTTATTCGTGTATGTCGCCAGGCGGCTCAGCCTCTAAGTCCGGATATCTATGCCAGATAGGAAGTGACTGAATAAGCGAGTGAGAGAAGGAAAGATAACCCAAGCGACCGAGAAAGAGAGAGAGAGAGAGAGAGACCGAGAGAAAAAACACACACAGATACTTTTTTGATTGAGTTGTTTAAACGCTTGTAGCTGCTCTCACACAGCCTGCGATTGCTTCGTGCGTTATCTTAAAGACCTTTTCCCTATTATGCCCTACCCCTACCCCGACCACTGCCACTGCCACTACTCCTAACCCTACCCTATTTCTTGTGCTGCTGACCACCGTCCTTGACTGTGGGGCATTCAAAACTGAAAGTTAGCCGCAGAAGCAAAAGCTCAACCAACACTCATCTCTTTGGGGTTGTGGTTGTTGTTGTTGTTGGTTCACTTTGTGCCAGGTGAGAATTGACAAATTTCCATTTCATCAATACAATCAATAAAAGCAGAAGCAGCAGCAGCAGCAGCAACAACAACAACAACAACCATATCCACATTTAAAACAAGTGCAGTGACTGATCGTACAGAGCAGAGCTCACACCTCGAAGCATGTGCCCCGAGTTTTTGTTGTTGTTGTTGTTGTTTTTGTTGTTGACCATCAAGGCCGTTACTTGAAAACCGCTTTCAATTAAACTGGAGCACACTTTTGCCTGCGGTCGAACATCATCATGGTGACGACAATGATCATCATGACAATGTATCGCTTGAGGCAGCACCCAGAGTGAAAATGAATTTCCAATGTGGCCCGCAGCGAAACAATCGAATCAACAGCAGCGATTCATGGATGAACGCACTTATTGCTCATCCAAAAAACGAAAAAAAATACAACAAAAAAAAAAAAACAAAAAACTGGTAGTAGTTACTTACTTTTACCCAAGCCAAGGAGCAGAGATGGTAGCAGTTCGTTCGATCGTTCAATTGCCACTGTCGCATTGCGATTTAATATTGAAATTGAAACTCCTGATGGAAAGTTATGGGGCCCCAGCAGCATTTATGAACCAGTGATCAGGGCTAGCCCTTCGCCCCCTTTTGGAGTCCGCTCTCGCTGATGATAATGGTTGCAGATTATGGGGCGGCCATCTAGCCATTGATAACATACTTACTCGAGATACAACCTAAAAGCGTCCAATTAGCTGAAAAGTTTACAAGCTGAAAAGCTGAGCAGCGAACTCATGAAAAATCAGCAGCAGCACAGGAAACATAAAGAGAAACGTGCGTCTTTGAATTTTGTTTAAAATGAAGCTCAGGTAAATATTTCAATCAAAAACTAGCTACGAG